CAGCAATTGGAAACTAATGGGGTGGTTAGCTGCTCTGGTGATTGCCATGGAGACCAGGCATCGATCCCCAACGCAGCTAATAACTACCCCACGAGCTTCCAGATGTTAAACTTTTTTTCAAATACTTGTTCAATTTTTAAAAAATACTTGTCTAACATTTTTTAAATACTTGTTCAACATATTTTAAATACTTGTTCAACATTTTTATATACATGATTAACATTTTTACAAATACTTGTTCAACATTTTTATATACATGATTAATATTTTTTCAAATACTTGTTCAACATTTTTACAAATACTTGTTCAACATTCTTATATATATGATTAATATATTTTTAAAAACTTTTTCAACATTTTTTGAAATACTTATTCAACATGTTTTGCAAATGCTTGATTAACATTTTTATATATATGATCAACATTTTTAAAATGCTTCTTTTTTATATGCATGATCAACATTTTTTTTAAATACTTCTTCAACATTTTTCAAATACCTATTTAACAGGTAAATGGGTGCATGCACCTGTCGGCCTAGAGGAAGCAGACTGGGTGTCAATCGGCCAGTAGTGGGCCGACTGAGGCCAATCGGCCAGCAGTGGACCGACTGGATCCAATCAGCCGGCAGTGGGCCGACTGGGGGCAATGGCCACCAGCAGGCCTGGATCCAATCGGTCAGCAGTAGGCCGATTGGATAATATTTTTAAAAAATATAATTACGGCGTAATATTTCTGAAATTTAATATAAAAATGTATTGTTTTAAAAAATTAGCCCAAAAGGGGAGGGCGAGCAGCGCAACTGCATCGTCATCGAGACCGGTGAAGCCGAGCAACCAGGACGGTTTGAGGACGGAGCAGCAGCGCCAGGCATCGCGTGCACCGGCGGGAACAGAGAAGCAGCCCCATGGCGAGATCTGTGAAGGAATTTGGCGAATAGTTTTGGGAATCGGAGAAGTTACCTGGAGGTGGTGGAAGAAGATGGAGATGCTTAGATCCGTTTTTCCAGGTGGCAACATCGGAACAGGGTCCAACGATTTGGAGCGTGCGACCCGTTTCGTACAAGTTTTTCTTCCATACACGGACACGGGATTAATTCTAACAAGTTTCCGCCCTTCCGACAAGATCATCCTCGACCTCCATCCTGCTGTTCATTGGAACTTGTTAGCCTTCTCCTTGTCCCTAGCTCGCCTTCAACCAAATATCCGTCTTCGTATTTCGCAATTTTATGGTCGTCTTTACTTATATAAACCCATGGTTGAATCGAATTAGTCCAAAATCTCCAGAACCTCTCCGGATCCGTCGCTACTTCATATCGGCTCCAGCTTGGATCCGTGGCCACTTCCTATCGACGACTGTTGCGACTTGCGAGAACTGAATCCCCAGATGATCTACATGGGCTGGCCTAACTAGGTCTATTGTCTTTCTTTCGCAACGGGCGCTACGCGTGGTTTTATTTGGGACAAACGTAGCTAGTTTTTTTTTTCTTTGCTTTTCTGTTGGATTTTTGTTCAGTTTTCGTACTGTTTTATTATTTCATTTTTGATTTTTTTTATTTACTTTTCGTTCTTAATTTTATTTATTACATGCCTCTTTTTTTAAACGCGTGATTTTTCAAAATTCATGTAGTTTATTTAAATTTCATGATCATTATTTCTCGTGAACTTTCTCAAATTCGCAATCATCTTAAAAATTTGAAAACTAATTCAAATACACGAACTTTTTATATTTCCTTTTTTAAATCATGATTTTTTTTCTTTGAAATTCAATGTACTTTTTAAAATTGGTGAACTCTTTTTTCCAAATTCATGAAAAAAATTAATCCATGAGTTTTTTTAATCCATGAATTTTTTTAATTCACGGACATTTTTTTAATTCATGAACACTTCTTTGAATATGTGGACATTTTTGTAGTCCCCATTTTTTTGCATTTCCTGCATATTTTTCAAATTCGTTAATATTTTTAATTTCTCAAACATTCATGGACAAAGAACCAGCCCTTGCAAATAACAAGCAAGAAAAATAAGTGAGTGGGCGAGCGGCCGAGCAAGCCTGGCGAAGGAGAGATCTGGAAGATCAGTGGGTCGTCGTGATCAGCGGCACGTGAGCGCTGGTTCTTCATTAGGCGCTATATGCGCGAATTAGAAGGTCTCATTGCGAGACAGAAGGACCGCCCGACTCATGTAGATTTTTTTTGGATCTTCACTCTTTTGCAACATGGCTGATGTTATAAAAAAAATTCGCAATGAAAGATGTTTTCACTGCAGCATCGTTGTTTTTGTCGTCGTTGTTTGCAACTCTGTCGCTCTTGCATAAAATCGTCTCAGCAGCAACAACCTCTGTCCCTCGTGGCACATATCGTCTCTCCTCTTCCTTCGTCGCGTCGCCTCTGGGATTGTAACCGCCGTGGGATGATGCACGGCAAGCACACCCCGTCCTTTATTTTGAACACAGTGCACGCATAGGCGCTCATATATATGCATACACTCATCTCTATAAACACACACACGCACAGAGGCGGAGGACGAAAAAAATTGAAGGTGTGGCGAAGTCTTAAGCAAAAATTTATTATAATGCAAATCATCACATGTAGGTTTTGAAAAATTATGGATGCTACATAGCCCACCAACATATTTACGAAGTGCCACGACCACGTTTTTTCCAACAATCAAAACAGTTGACATGAAAATTTCATGCTCTACTTCCACGGAAGTCACTTGAGCTGGATGACTTAGATGTGCCAAAACATTAACACTTTCTTGGGTGCTTGGATTCGATTTCGAGCTGCTGCCACTACCAAGTTCTTCAAAATATCTTGTCAAATCTGCAAACAACATAAAGTTTTCACTGAAATCTGCTTTGGATTCAAGCTGTTGTTGAAAATTGCTACTAAATTTCAGAGAAGAAACGAGAAATATCCCTCTCCTTTGAATTTGCTAGTCCCTTTCCATTCCTTTCCATCTTTTGGCCAGTCGTGCGGGCTAACTAAACTAGGTTCGCGTTGTGCGCAGTCGTGCTCGTGCGTGGGCGCTCGATCAATTTTGGCCAGTCGTGCGGGCGCTCGAACGAATCTGGCCCAACACGCTGGGTCGCTGGCTCCGTCGGCCCATCAGGCCAGCGACGTCTCGTTTTCTGTTATTGATTAAAACGATCGAGTCGAGAGACAAGCAATCGATCATCAATGCGTAGGTATAAAAAAAAATTTGTGTCAGAATCAAGGTATGGCAGCCGCCATACCCTGCCCACCGGGGGCCTCCGCCAGTGCACACGCACACATTATTCCTATGAGCATCTTCGAGAGACTGAGTCGGCATATCATTTTGAGATTTTACGAGATCACCTAGGCGCCTCATAGTCGACGAGAATGTCTACTCCACTAAACGCGCATCACCGAAAATATTGAAAAAAATTCAAGATAAATGGGAGCACCGGGACTTAAATCCTGGTGGGCTGGGGATACCATTGTACACCTAGCCATCCAACCACATGTTGGTTCGCAGCACGTCCCGTCCTTGCATGTCCACATTGGTGCCCTAGTCTTGCAATGCAAATTGTTGCGCGTTCTGCGCAAAGGTCGTCTCACTAAATTCACAACATAGTGGGGTGTCGTTCTTGAGCAGGGGATCTCTTGGGCTGCAGAGGATTTAGGTAGGAGATTTGAGGGAGGATGTGTTGGGTGTTAATGGGGGGAGGGGGGCTTGAGACGAGTACGAGGAAGAAGATGCCGAATCCGTCCAAGGAAGGAGAGGAGGAAAAACTGACGTGCAAGGGCCCACAACACATGTTGCAGACACGTTTCCAAAAGATAATTTACTTAAAAAAATTTAAAAGTGTTCATCATTCATTTAAAATATATCTATGCAGTGTAAAAAAATTGTCCGTGCTAATTTTTAGAATGTTCCTATGGTTCAAAAACAATTTGGAAATTCAAAAAATGTTCATATATTTTTTAAATAGTCTTCTCATTTCTTTTCTTAAATATTACAATATAAAAAATGACACATAATTTCAAAAACTGTTTATTGCCAAAAAAATGTATGTGACATTTAAAGAAAATATTTATGTGTTTCGAAAAATGTTCATCACAATTTAAAAAATGATATAAAATGTAAAAAAATGTGCGTATAATTTTCTAAAAATGTTCCATACCATCAAAATATTCACACTCTACATATGTTCATGACATTTTTAAATATTCATACAATGTCAAAATAATATTTGCATAATTAAAAAATGGTAAGCCTGTATACGAAAAATGTCCAGCATGTATTTGAAGAAAAAGCCCACTTGTATTTGAAAACTGAAGAAAAAGGGAAAACAGAAATTAGAAAAAAAAATATCAAAAAATCATTGAAAACTGATATAAAACACATCGAAACAAAAGAAAATAAAAAAAGCGGATGGAAACTTCTAATGCTGATCCATGAAAACTTACCAAAACTGCTTAGAGAAGTCTCCAAGAACACATATGTGGGCTGGCCCGCTTGCCCGCACGCCAAAGGCGGGACGAGCTTCTGTGTCGCAAAGAGCGAGACATAGCTCTGGTGCCTGTTCTCCACAATAGGAAAGGAAAGGATGGCCGCAGCTAGGGTTATATTTAGATCAACTAGGGATTCTACGGTAGAGGCAGCGACAAGCTTTCCAGGGAACGACCAACCTTTATCCAGTAAATGTTTACAGAACACACATATAACGAGGGTGGTTACACAGCGAGATATGTCGACATGAAGCTAGAGAAGTGGCAGCCCTGGCCGACCTGTGTACCTCAGCATCCACATCTCAAGGCCAAAAATGGAGAGGGCCCTTGTTATTAAGTCAAGAATAACCAATAGATGTGGCATAGCTAACCATTTACAACAAGGATATACTTAAAATGTAGTCAGGATTTCTTTCTGTTGCTACCTACATAGAACCAACTGTTATATTGTTATTACACTTGATCAGCTATAAGTTAACAGCTTGGTACAAACAATGTTAGGCAGCTGCAGACAGGGCTGGACTAATCACATCTCGATGTCCTCCAAATCTGGCAGAGGGAAACGAAGTATAGCTGCTATTCCTGTCAACTGCGCCAATTCTGTTCAAACACATCAGCAGAGAAAAATGCAATCTCAGAACGCAGAAACTGTGCAGTAAATTGATTTGTAATAAAGAAATTCCTTCTTGCTTCAACCTTTTTGCCATAGCATGCAACTATAACTACATTCAGTTAATTATTAATTCTCTTCGCAACATTTCCAACGGCGTGACACTTTATTCCATCTCAATATTTTTCACTGATTGTAGTGTGAAATGAGCAATTATGAATAAGGTGAACAGTGACAGCATACTCACGGTCACCAGAGACATGCATCGAAGAAAATATGTGCACTGTACCACCATATTTCTTGACTGACTCAACCAGGTTCACATACTTTCTCCTGCTAGCAATGTCCGTGTTCCTACAAGGGGAAGCAGAAGGAAAATAAATAAACAGCAAGACTGTACAGGCAAATTGCAACTCATGAACTTCTGTTTCAATTTTCAGGTCATATTAGATGCATAGGAAGCGCATGTACATACACATATTCGGCTTGAAGCCACTCATCAAATATGGGAACCTCCCTTGCTAATGCCCAGACTAACAAAAGTGAATTGTTGATATGCTCACCAGACTAACAAAAGTGAATTGTTGATATGCTCACCAGACTAACAAAAGTGAATTGTTGATATGCTCAGACTAACAAAATGAACTATTGAAAGGGAAGCCTGCTATTTTTTCTTGCAGAAAATTTTCGATTCCATTCCTGTGGTGTAAATAGCCTAATATGGATTCACAATCAATAGCATCTTCAACATCAAGAGTAGTGATCAGCAACCAGCTCATGATGCAAACTTATTTCAACTGAACAAAGCAGGCTACATAAAGCAATAACTTGACCTAAGTTTCTGCTCGTGACCTTTCAAAAATAAAGTTTGTAGTACTCATTAGTTAGAACACATAGTAGTAGTTGCTACAATAATTCTCTTGGTATCAAGTGCTCGTTCATGCCATGATGAACAATAAGGAGTGGAAATTAATATATATACCGATTCAGAATTTGCAAAACCCAAGTATTTCATTAATCTAATGTTTCCTGGTGAGCCACACAATTCATCCATAGCAGGTAGGCAAGCAAGCTTAACCAACCTACCGCAATGGCCACATCGCACAGTTTTGTTGCATTGAGACTTCTTTGTCAAGTTTTTTGTGGCTATTGTTCTAATACCAAACCAACCACACTTTACGAACAGAACATATGCACAAGAAATAACAGTATAATCAATTCCATAAACATGACTTACCGAAACAAAGTATCTGTCATCAGAAGAGTTTGTATTGCAAGACGTTCATGTGCGACCTCAACGTGCTTAGGTCCATAACACGCTCGGGCTGAGTCCTGCAATTAAGCAGCAAACATTTAAGTCTAATCAGATATGCTTGAACTAAGCAGAATCAACGGCTGCAAGTCATAAACACATAAAATCAGTACAGTAACTGTTCTTCCGATCTAAAATACAAGTGTGTATGTATATGTATACATGGTCAACATCTAAGCAGTAGCAACATATTAGATAAGTTAAGATCAGTACTGAAAAACCATCAGTTACAAGTTCGCTTGTTCAAGAGGCTTACATTAGTAAGCATAGCGAAGAACTCCTTCAAAGCTTGCACCTGCAAATTACAATAGAAATACAAGACAAGATCTGAGCAGCTGCATTTAGAATCTGTTTTGAAAGTGTCTGGCATGTGTAGTTAATCAAAATATGGAATTTTTTCAGAGGAATCATACGTGTAAGCTACGTGATATATTGACAACGGGGAGTTCTAAATGAGACTTACCTCCTGTGCCGCTTTTGTATCTTTTATCAGTGACATCACACCTGGAGTGTCCAATACTTCCTTCAAACTATGCCTATACCAAATAACCAATAATCAACAGCAACATTAGGATCAAAGCAAACAGAGAGCAAAGAGAAAATAGAGGACCAGGAAATACATAAACCAACCACTCATTTAGCAAATATATAGCTCAGTAGAGGATTAGAGTATTCCAGAATGACCATACAACTGGTCACAAGCAAATGAACCACTTGTATCAGCCGGATAGACATGTTAGTAGTACGACATCAAGCAAGTTTCCAACAGATTATTCAGAATTTTAGAAGCAGAACCTAAATCTCCAAGTATTACCCTGTTCTAGCTTACATAGAAGGGGAAAGATAGACAGCCAAAACAGGTCGAGGAGTACACAGAATCAATTGAATGAGAAAATATAGAACTCACTTGTAGCCTGAAGGTGCATGTGCAAGAATAATGCGTGATTTGTTCTCAATTATTACTCTCAAGTCTCGCCGTGCAGCTTCAAGATGCATGTAATCACGAAACTGATCCTGTGATTAAGATAAAAAGAGAAGAAAAAAGAATAGGAATTGATATTATTTTCATGAAGATATGGAGGGTTTAACTTATGCAAGTAGCAATAGATGGACCAAAATGGAAGTAGACAGTAGCACATGTTTCAAGTTGGAAACAAGTGTCGATGGCAAAAGTAACATGCAATGATGCAATTGACTGTATTGCCAGGTGCAGCCAAAACCATGATAATTTGACCATATTACACTGGTACATACTCCCTCCGTCCGAAAAAGCTTGTCCCTCAAATGGATGTATCTAGCACCAAGTTAGTGCTAGATACATCCATTTGAGGAACAAGCTTGGGACAAGCTTTTTTGGACGGAGGGAGTAAAATTTAAACTGTATGTACTCAGCAAACTCTCTAGTTACCCATTAAAACAGGACAACGGGTGATGGTAAACCATATGTAGACGGCGGATGTTAGTACAGTACTACGCACTCAAGTTGGTAACGAAATTAGGGAATGGAAACATCAGGCTTTGGGTAGTCCCTCGAGACATGGAATATATCTGCAGAACATATTGTTTATAAGGCATCCTGTCTTGGATGCTTAAGCGACGCTTCGGTGCCAAGGTGCCCTGTCAGCGCCTTACAATTATGCCCGCTTTAGGCGCTTAGGCGTCAGGGTGGTTGTTGCTTGCCTTAGGTCATGTTACCACCTTATAAACAATGAACCAGTGCTGACATATGATACGACCAGAGCAACATATAAGCCCGAGACCTTTTTCGTGAGGCATGGTTTATTTTACTATTTGATAGGTTATTAACATTAACCAACTGGTTTCTATTTTGCCTATCAAGATCGACTCAGAAATTGATTTAACAACACATGACAGGCACATTTATCATTCTTCAAAAAACATTGTTTAAGATGTTTTCAGACTGATGACCCTTATAAAGAAAGTAATATAATAATATATATTTTCCCTCTAGGTATGTGATTACCTTAGTAAAACCTGGGCTTGCAATTACAACACACTGGACCACTTCGAAATCAATGTGCTTCAGCAAGGCCTGCAGATAAGCAATGTAATGTGTTACAAAAAAAATCATTTATAAACATTCTCATTTCTTGTGAACTTTGAACAGATTATTATGTGCTTACTTGCAAAACATGCTCAAAGAACTTCTTGAGAGCCTGCATAGGGAAAAAAAGGCTGCCAACTCAGTAGCAAATAGATAAGACAAATAAAATCCACATTATCTTATACAATAGTTAACGTACCGATTCGTAACCAGCAATGGCAGGTCCATGTTTCCTAGGAATCGATGTTTCAATACGTGACCTTGTTGCTGTTATGCTGTTTAAAACAGTCATAACTAGTAAGTTGAATGAAAAGGCAGAAACAACTCAAGCCAATCAAGGACTAGGGAAGCAATAGTAAGAACATGCCAGAATCTGTATGACCACTGGATGTTCATATTTAGGGGAGACCATAGACAAATCTGTTGTTCCTGTGTAACTGCACAGGGTGCGTGAATATTGAATGAAAATACTCGTGAAACTTCAGTTTGGTGTTAGCACCATCTGACATTCTAGTTCAAAATCGGTGCCATCACAAGATTATTCTTTTCCATTACATATTTTATAGTTATGGATTCTTGTCCAACACCGTCTGAGATGGTTTGGGCATATACAACACAGGGCTCCAGAAGCGCCGGTCCATAGCAGAAGGATAAAGCATGCTGATACCTGATAATGTCAAGAGAGGTCGGGGTAGAACAAACTCGGGAGGAGTCCGTAAAGAGAGATCTGAAGGACTGGAATATCACCAAAGAACTAGCCATGGACAGGGGTGTGTGGAAGTTAGCTATCCACGTGCCAGAAACATGATTAGGTTTCGAGATCTTATGGGTTTCAACTCTAGCCTACCCCAACCTTGTTTGGGACTGAAAGGCTTTGTTGTTGTTGTTGGATCTGTCCCTGGAAATACCCC